CCGCCCTCTCCCGCTCTCCTGCCGCGGGCGGCGCCGCGGGGAGGGGGCCGCGCTCTCGGTTTCATTTTCCCGGAGGGGGTGGTTGTTTCTGCTTCTCAAAGCGCCTCGGGCTGCACTCGCCGCCAGCGGCGCCGCGCGGGGCCGCGGCTCTCGCGTGCGCTCCGTTCAACGGCCTCAGGGCTCGCTGCAGGTGCGTGAGGTCGCACCTGGCCGCTGCATCCCGAGGGACACGCCGGTTTTGGGTACAAAACCGCGCGAAACACGTCACTTCCGTAAATAACCGCGCTAAAGGTAAAGCTAAACCACGTTAACCTCAATACCCGCAAAAGCCCCGCGGGGTTTTTCTCCTCCATGTTGTTTTGTTGTTGCGGGGGAGCAGAACCCGACGCTCGCTGTGTCCCCCAGCGTTCCAGAACGCGCTTGGTTACCGGCGCTTTCGGCGGTGCCGGTTCGGTGCCCGCGCTCCCCTGGACCGGGCATGGCTGGCTGAAGGCAGCAGCCCTGCGCGCCAGCGGCGGGACAGCGAGGTTGGTGTCCCCATCATGTGACCCCAGACACCTGCACAGCGGAGCGCTTCATTTCCCAAAGGTAAATTTGTTTGTCCTCTGCGTGTGTGTACACACAGTTCTGCTTTATTTCCATTTTCCATCGGCCTCGCTGATCCAACACACCGAGCAGCTACCGTCGTTCATTTTCTATAGACCAGGTGTTCACCTGAGTTCTTCCAGACGTTAGGATTCAATATTACCTTGTTGCTGCTTGCAGAAAGAATTTTGGTTTTAGAAGTGGGAGTATCAGAAAGGTATTGCCACCAGCTGTCCAACTGGAATAATAAAACAGGAAAGTTTGGAAGAGATACTCAATTCTGTTGACAACAGGGATTTACTCACCTATACTTTTTGGGAGAAGATTCAGGAAAGATGCTGATTAAGTCTTGTTTTCATTAGGCCTTGATGCTTTCAAGGTAAAAACAAAAAGCTATTAAAAAAACCCTTACCTTTGCAGTTGTTGAAGGTATGCTTATGTCTGGACAAAGTATTTTTTGGTAGGTGAAAGTGGGTTTTCAAGCATTGTTTGTAATTATGTAGCCTGCAAATTACATGTGACTTCTTTTCAAAACTTCTTAATATTCTTATTTCGCGTCAATTTTGTGCAATTTTATGTAGATGCTTTAATTAAGTTTCTTTGTTTAATTGCATACGTCTGTGTGATAAAAACCAAGAGCATATGCACACGTGTCAGAAACGGGTACAGAAATCCACGCGTGGTTGAGAATTAGGTACTCTTGTGGCTGAAAGGAAATAATTTTAGCCGCTTTTAGCCTTAGGAGTTCTGTTATTCCCTGCTCTCTCTAAAGAATGAGCACATGTCGATGGTGCACGCCTAGTGGTTCTGATACCACCGAGTTGCTGAAGAACTATGCATCTAAGCAGCTGTCCTGGGAAGACCTTGAAGGATCCAACGATGATCTCTGTTACTGCCTGGAGTGCGTGGTGGAATACCACAGAGCGAGGGAGAAATTGCCAGGCTTGCATGAGGTAAGTAAATTGCCGAGCTTGCACGCGGCTTTGATTTTCCATTCTTAGTTTTCAGTTTTATCTGAACGTCAAAGAGCTTTGACTCTTGCTCTTTACTGAGGTTGAACCTCCTTTGAAAACTTCAGAGTTGTCGTGGTCCAGCTTCGTTGGGAAAGGGAGTTTTCCTCGGGGCCAAGTTTTGAAATAAGGTGTTTGGTTCTTTAACTATATGTGGGTATATGTTGGATTGCATGGAGCCTAGAATAAAACAAGAAGTCCCTTTTGTTTTGTACGTATTCAAATCTTTGAAAACTAAAATAGTAATAGGAAGTTGCTGACAAGACATTACAGCTTGAATTTTGTTCATAGTGGGATGGTTTTGGTTCTGAAAAAGCAGCAGACCCTAACAAATAACTGCTGTATTTTGTAATGCGTTTTCTTCCTTTCTTTTTCTTTGTTCAGTTTTGTGGTTTTTCTTCTTTGACTTGCTTTCACTTTCTCAGTGAAATCCTCAGTTTTCTGTTATGCTTGACTGTCAAAGCTGTGATCTTGCAGTCATGAGAGACTGATTTAAAAACTTTACCCTATAATACGCCTATTACAGTTCGCCCTTTATTAGCATCTAGTTTGATATTTTGGACAGCTTATTTCACATGTGTGTGTGTGCATCACTCTATGTATCTCTCTGTGTATATATGTACAGAAATGCTTGTTCATAGCTGATTGACCTTTTACACATCATTAGTAAGGTTACTCTTTGAGTTATTCAGACTTCTCTGAAATCCAAAGAGAGAGATAGATACCTCTGGAGGGCAATTCATCCTTTCTGAGTACAGATTAGAAATAACTGGAGTGAGTTGACTGCTGAAGGTGCCTTTCTCTTCCCATTGAATATAGGAAATAACCTAGATTTCTAATTAAAGTTTGGAACAATTACTCAGCAAGGTACTGTGTTTTCCTCTCTGTGTTCTCACTCTTCCACTAAAATGTTGCAAAATAAATGAGTTTTTTAAATCACTTTAAAAATTGTTAATTCTGTGGTCCTCAGTGTGACTGCCCACCCACTTTCTTTCATAGAAGGACAAAGTTCTTTGGTAAATCGACAGCCCGAAATAATGACTGAAGCTCTCCATGAATACTTGACAAAGATATGAAAGTGTGTCCACTTTTTCACTCCTCCCCTCACTCATTTTATAATTTTAACTCTTGAGGTTCTGAAGTAAAAGCTCTGTGATTTGTACTGTGTGAATTCCATGTAGACCTTTAATGTTTCATATCATGCTGGGACAGGAAGATAATAAAACTTCCCAAATTAAATACTAAGTTTTGAAAATCAAGGCTTTGTCTATGATAATAAATGTCCTCATGCTCTTCACAAATCTCTGTTGATTAGCTGTATGTTTCCCCCCTGAATAGGTCCTATGGGAGTTGGAAACTTCCCGTCTCATTGCCCACATTGAGAAATCAATGAAAGAAGAAGTTGGAGAGGACGATGAATTGTTTATAGTGGATGAGAATGGGGACATGCAGCTCTCTGGTTATGTAGGCCCAGATTTTGAGAATAACTTGCGAGTGCCCCT